ACTCCAGATGTCCTTTCCCAGTGGCTTCAGATAGATATGTAAAGCATAAAGGACAGCATTGACCCTTGTGGAACCCCAGTTTAATGGCCAAAAGGCTGAACAACAGCCCCCCAGCACCATCCTTTGAGAATGTTCAGTCAAAAAAGACCAGAACCACTGCAAGATAAGTCCCTAGGTTCCATATCAGCCAAACAACCCAGGAGGATACCATGTTTTTTTGGGTATCAAATGTCACTGAAAGACCAATAGGGGATCGATCCCCCTATCCAACTCCCAGTGTAGGTCATCCATCAAGGTGAACAAGGCTGTTTCCGTCCCATAACCAGGCCTGAATCCAGATTGGAATGGGTCCAGGTAATCCATTTCTCCAAAGAAGTCTGGAGCTCTGTTGCCATCATTCACTCTAAGACCTTACTTAGAAAGGGGAGATTAGAGGCTGCCCAATAGTTACCTTGAGAGATGGAGTCCAATGAAATAAAGGTCTTACAATTGCTTCTTTCAGAGAGGTTGGAACATAGCCCTCTTCCAAAGAAGTATTTACAACCTCCACCAATTGGCCAGTCTGCCTCTGGCAGCTTTAACTAGTCAGGTTGGACATGGGTCTAACAGGCAAGTGGTTGGCCTCACCTTGCAAAGCAACTTGTCTGCATCATCATGTAAATAACCTGAAACTCATCCATCAAAACCTTCAACCTTTGAACCTTCAGTCTCACAACATAATTTACCATTTTGTTTCGTAGCAAGCAGGTAAAAGTGTTTAATTTTATTATTACCTAATCATAATTATAACTTTTCCATTTACTTTTTGACACATACCCTTATCTTCATTATTAAAATTACTTCAAAGACATATGCTCAACATTTCACAGACCTAAGTGAAAGATTTACATTGACGAATAAGAGAAAAAGACACATCATTACCATTCTGACAATTGATAGGTGTTTTTTAAGTATCAAGTTTACTATGCCTATCACAACCACTACTGAGTCAAAAATATTCCAAGTATCTTGAAAATAGTAGTACGGATCGAGGGCAATGATTTTGAGCACCATTTCAGCTGTAAAAATGCCAGTGAAAACCTGCAAGAAGGGGAACAAATGAGGTATCGTAACAGTAAATACAGAACTATTATTATTATTATCATCATCATCATCATTTATTATTCACCTCTCCCCATTGATCGATACGGGGAACAGCAACAAATTAACAATTAACAACATGAGTTAAAGCATATTAATTAAAACATTCAACAGTTTAAAAGACCAGGTAAGACATACACATTTTAAAACAGTCTCCATTTAAAATTCAGTATCTTAATCCACAATTTAAAATTATTTGGATACACTCGCTAGACAAGACTGGTCTTCAGTGCTGTTTTAAATTCGGACAGTGTATTCAACTGTCAAATCTCTTGTTCCAGCAGCTTGTTCCACAGTCTAGGGGCAACTGATGAAAATATCAAAGGACCCAAGTAAACATACAGGATGAATTATATGGGAGGAGGTAATCCTGTAGGTAACCTGGACCCAAACCATGTAGGGCTTCAAAGGTAATAACCAACACTTTGTACCTTGTCTGGAAACTAACTGGCAGCCTGTGGAGTGATTTTAAGATCAGTGTAATATGTTCACTCCTGGATGACCCAGTTATTAATCTGGCTGCCATCTTTTGAACTAACTGAAGCTTCCCAACTTGGTACAGAGGTAGCCCTGTGTACAGAGCATTGCCAAAGTCCAGCCTTGAGGTTACCATCTTTAAGTCCTCCAGTTTTAGGTAGGGATGCAGCTGGCATAACAGCTGAAGCTGCTAGTAAGAACTCCTGGCTATTGCATCTATTTCAGCTGCCATTTGGAGCAACGGATCCAGAAGCACTCTTTCAGGGAGAGTGTAAATCCATCCAGGACTGGTTGACACACCTCCAAAGTCAGGTTAGGACCTTTAACAATAAGCACCTTTGTTTTATCTGGATTCAGCTTCAAACAAATGGTTTGTCTTGTCTGGATTCACCTTCAAACAAAGAACAGCTTTTTTCCAACCCAAATATAAATATATTTTATTATTATGTTTTGATGTGTAATACTATTTTAAGGGGTGGGTGGGTTTTGGGACTGTATATTGTGGTATTTTATTGTTGTAAGCCACCCCGATTGCTTCTGCAGAGGGGCGGGATATAAATAAATTTTATTATTATTATTTTATTATTATTATTAAATAGGAGCAGCATTTTGACACTTCTTTTTGGGCTGGAAAAAATGCCGGATCAGGGCCACGGCATGAGGTTGCTGTGGCCCCAATCCGGGAATCAAAGCAATGGCATCAAGCTGCCGCTTCAGGGCCATCTGTTTTGCCCCTTTGTTAGGTTGGATGATTTGTTAGGCCTATATGATTTTTAACACCTTTGCCTTATCAAAAAACCAGTGGAGCTTCAAAAGCTCCATTTGATGTTCATGTCAGTGGTTACACTATGCAACTGCCTGATTTCACAAAAAATGGCAGCAGAAGAAGTTAATGATTTCTAGGCACATTTGGTTCAAGGTGCACAAGAAACGGCAGCAAAATTCTTCCATAGCGTAACAGTAAAAATGTAATTCCCAGCATCCCTCTAAATAAAGATCTGACCACTTACATTGTTTCCTTGTTCAACCATTTTGTGTGGAAAAGGCATGTCTTCTAGTGCCATTAACAGAGTGTTCACTGTAATGCACAGCGAAATAAATAGTTCCATAAAAGGATTTATCATTATTTTCTTCATCATTTCCTTTATTTGCAACCAGAGGGGGCAACATTGCCAAATGAGATACTTTTGTGCAGTCTTTTTTATGCCTGGAGGGAATTCTAATTTTGGTTCTTCCCATTCTAGACAAAGGGGAAACAATTACAAGTTTACCAAGTTATGAAGCATGAAAACAACTTTACTTAAAATTTACAGATAAATATTTTCATATAAACATATATCTGATTCATAAAACAGTAACAGAGACCAGATAAATCCTACACAAGCCATTCCTATCCATCATTTTAATGGTAATTTTTGTTTAATTATTGAGGAAATGGTATAACAGTGGATAACTGTTAAGACATAGCTCTTTCTAATGCATTCACTAAAATCTGCATTAGGTAGGGTGAGAGAAAAGGCAAATATTTAAATCAATATTTGCTTGTTTTTAAAAAGACATGGAAATTTGGAAATATCGGTTCAGGTTTTGATCTTACTACATTTTAGTGCTAACAACAACCCAGGTCAGCACAGTAACTTATTGATCTGAGTGTGTGTAAAACATGTCTATCTGAAGCAAAATCAATGTACTGCATGATCACATATGCTTTTCACTCCTACATTAAAATTAAATGTAACCATATATGAATACCATCATTGTCTAAAATGTACAGATTCAAGCTTTAATCTCTACATTTACCATATCACCATTCCTCCTTTCACAGTTCTGTTTGAATTGTTCATACCCTTGCTCTGATTATTTTTCTTAGAAATTCCTGTTCACCAGAGTTTTTCAATGTAATTTTAAATAAATACTATATAATTTTTAAAGAAATACCCATCTGAATTATTTTCATTTTATATATAACACGTAAACAAATGTATCCATGATTTTTTGTAAATTATCTTTAATTTTAACTTACCCATAGTTTTGCTGATGACATTGGCAGCACTGGTTAATTTTTGTCTTTGAAATGGATCTTGAAGAGTGTCAGATGGTAGGTGATAGGACATTAATAGTTCTTTCTTTGGTTGGATAAAATAAAATACTATTTAATATTTAAAGGCACTATCATCTCCCCATTTAATTACATACAACCCCCCATTGCAGAAGAATATAATGTATACAAAGGGGCCTAAAAGAAAATAAAGTTAATTAAAAGTGTAAAGTTTTACTCCAAACTACTACACCAGTTAGCTTAGGTTATTCAATAAATGGAACATTTAAATTTTTAGCATGAAGTGTCCTTTTGCCTTGATTCAAAAGAGTCATCCACAAACAGGTTAAGCCCCTTTCACTGTCAGAAAGGCAAGGATTACATGGCCCCAGAGCGTTGCCTGAGGCTGTTATTCTGTAGCTCTGTTCCAGTGCTGACCCATATCCATTCTGTGACCAAGCATGGATGAAAAGGTGTGTTGTTGTTGTACGGCTTCAAGTCTTTTTTCTGATTTGTGGCATTAAATTAACTGTTATACTTTGGCCACATCATGAGAAGGCACAACGGATTGGAAAAAACAATAATATTAGGAAAGGTAGAAGGAAATAGAAAGAAAGGAAGGCCACATACTAGATGGATAGTCTCTATAAAAGAGGTTATGGGTATGAATTTGGAGGAACTGAACAGAGCAGGGGTTGAGCAGATGGGCAAAAGGAGTGGCCTGAGTCCACTCTGGCAAGAAGCAGGTCCAAACCCCACTGACCACTCGGCCTGCTCTAAAAGCAGGCCATGTTCAGCGGGGCCACTACTTCATTTGGCCTGTCTGTTTGGGAGCCCAATGGGTTTCCATGGCCAAGTAGAGATTTAAACCCTGGTCTCCAAAATTATAACCCAACACTCAAACCACTATACCACATTGGTTCTGAAAAGTATGTAGATGGACATAAATAGGGCATAAATATATAGTCCTAAAAACACAGTTTGGAGGAGAGGAGAGGAGATGCCTCACATCTTTGGAGTGTAAGCCTTATCCAAATATCACGTGACAGCTTTCGACAGTAGGCTGAGGCATGCGTGCCTTTGTCATGCTGAACCAGAAGGAACCTTTATAGTTAAGTAATAAGGGTTCTGTTCTCAGCTTGATGAGAGAAAGTATACATGAATGAGACATTCGTTTTGGGCATGCGCTGCGCTGTGTATTTTCAAGTCGTTTCTGATTTAGGCAACCGTAAGGCAAACCTGTCACAGGGTTTTCTTGACAAGATTTGTTCAGAGGGGAGTTGCCACTGCCATCCTCTGAGGCTGAGAGAGTGTGACTTGCCCAAGGTCACTCAGTGCATTTAAATGCCCGAGCAGGGATTCAAACCCAGGTGTCCAGCATCATAGTCTAACACTCAAAACCACTAAGCCACAGTGGTTCCCTGAATGTGATATGCCCAAGCTAATTTCAGTGAAAAGGTAGATTAGACTTAAACTACCAAGATGGAGAACTCACTACAAAAATCATGCCCCAAAAGATGGCTCTGATGAAATGGAAGTGTTCAATCTTTGGTATTTGCTAAGCATGCTAGAGGTAGCCCTAATGACAGCCTGCAGCATGTGAAAAGGAGTGTTAATAGTAAAGGTAGCAGCTGTTCTGATGGAATGGGCTGTGAAAAAGGTGGTGATAGTTTTAGGGGGGTTGCAGACTGCCAGAAATAGTGCAAATTGAGTCCACTTTTAGGGTTAGGGTTAGGCTTAGGGAATCATGGGAACTGTATTTTATTGTGGCACCAGAGTTCTCTGACAGAGAAAGCTCAATGTCTCAGAAAAAAAACAGTTCCCATGATTCCCTAGCACTAACCCTAACCCTAAAAGTGGACTCAATTTGCACTATTTTTGGCAGTCTGCAACCCCCCCCCCCCCAGACTCCCACAAAGCAAGTTTTCATCCACCTAAGTATAGTGTCCCTGGGAAAATTTCTCCCCAAGGAAGAGAAGAAACAAACAAAGAGCCTATGTGTCTGATTGGTTCCAACTTAACTAACAAAGATTTTAAGGAGCCTATGCACATCCAGCTTGTGCCACTCCCTCTTAGAAGGATATGATGGTTTGGGACAGAAGAGGGATAAAATGACTCATTGTGGTCTATGGATGGTTATATTAAACTTATTGAGGAAGGAAAAACCACAGCTGAGTAAAACTGATTCCTTATGAAAAATAAACACAAAGGTAGTACTGACAGACAGAGTTTTCAGATTCAAAAGCTTCCTTGGCAACTTGATGAAAACCATGAGAGCAAACATAAAGGACAGGTGATGCCAAGGGGACCCAACTTTTGAACAAAGATTGATACGGTTTTCTGGTCTTAAAATAGAAAAAAGGTGAAATATTTAGGTTTTATTTTGTCCGACAAGAATAACATACTTTTTCAGAAGAATTGCATTAAGATTTGGAATGAAATCAAACAAGACTTACAAAGATGGGAGAAACTTAATTTTTCATTGTTAGGTGGAATTTCAGTGATAAAAATGAATGTTTTACCAAAGATTCTATATTTATTCCAGACCAAACCAATTGTGACAAACAATGTCCTGTCTGAGCAATGGATCTCTCAAGTTTTATGTGGCACGGTGAGAGAGAGAGAGAATTAAAAATAAAGTTCTTAAAGATTCTAGACAAAGAGCTGGATCAGGATTACTAAATTTGAAGTTACATTTCTCTGCTTGTTTTTTTAGTATGGTTGAAAGAGTGGATTGTGCTGCAAAATAAAAGAATGCTGTAACTTGGGGTTTGGCTAGCATGCTTATCTATGGTATAATAAGGAAAAGATTAATGCTGATTTTAATCACTATTATGTGAGACACAGTATTAAGGATCTGGCACAGATATAGATCTAGGTTATATCCCAAAATACCTCTATGGATCTCAACAAAAGAAGCTTTTTATAGAAAGCAAATAATGTTCTTAATAAAATTATTATATCAAAGAATGCAGTCACTTGAATATCAATTATTATTATTTTTAGAAAAAGGCTTTTTGGATCTATAAGTAAGGGGGGAAGCAGACGAGAGCTTCCCAGACGCCCTGGGCCGGCGCGCCGCGGGGCCGCAGCCTCCGCACCTCGGCGCACCGGCAGCGACCCTGGAAGGAGCGCTAAATCAGCGCTCCTTCCTCAAGACAGCGAAAGTGCGCATTAACAGCGGCGGGCACACTTTCGCTGTCTTTTCCGCCGCGGCGCGTTCGGCTGCCGCGGCGTGAGGTCTTCCCCGGAGCGCCGGCCGTGCGGAGGGCTGGCGACTCCGAGGGCGACCTCAGGGAGAGGAAGGGGCGCCGAACGTGCGGCTGCCCCTCCTCTTCCAAGCCTCCAAGACGACCCTATTAGTCGTCTGCCGAGGCGCTAAGTTACAGTATTAAAGTTGCTGCCCAGCTAAACACTTTAGACATTCAGCTTTATCCTTAGGTAATGTTCTTTAGTGAATAACATTGCAGATTTGTGTAATCATACAAATTCAATGTATAAAGATGCCATTGAAACTTACAAGATCCTTTTGACTTTTATCAGGTGTAGAATAAAACATAGTTTCATCTTCCCCATAAGTTTTGGACTTTTTGCCTTTGTGTTTCTTCTTCCTCCTTTTCTTCTTGTCTTTTTTCTTGTTGGACTCTACACCTGGTATTTCAGCATCTTCATCTATCGACGCAGAGTGTCGTTGGGCAAACAGTTCCTGGAACAGACAATAATATGTGAACATGAGATACTGAAATACTTGTCATCTTGAGGGGATGGGGACAGTTCTTCTAGAAAGAAGAGTAGCTACTAGGTGAGAGGCCATTTCTATAACTGAGTAGATAAGACTACCAGGACCAAAATCCAGTAGTAAACAACCTTTTGATTCTGATTTAGAACAAGAGTTGATGTGATAAGGTACATATTTTTCCAAACATTGCATAACATGTATTTCTCTATGTGGGAATTGCCAGTTTCAATTTGTGGTATTTGGGAACTCTGTTCATCTGTCTATTATTTGCTTTGTTTTTATCCGACCTTTCTTTTGTGAATGGGATTCAAGATCACAGCAATTATGTCAGCTACAATGTATAGATCTATAAATTTATACTACCTAGGATCATAATCCAAATCCTATGAATATGTGATACGTTTTATGCCCTGCAGAATTTATTGGTCCTTAAAGGTGGAGATGGGATTGTGAAATTAGACATGAGAGGGCAGTCTTTCATTTTTCCTTCCTGATCACACTGAACTTAGAGGCAGCCTTGATCTCCTCATTTTGATAATGTTATCTGTGTTACTGACATGTCTGGAGAGAAAGGGAAATGCCACCTAGGAAGGGTTTTTCTTTGTTTCATCAAGGATGAAAGAGTTAGCCAACAATGAGGAAGGGACACACCACTGAAGGAAGATTACAGCTTCATCCAGCATCCTCCTGTGAGAACTCAGACACTAAGCCAGCTCTCTGGGGGAAGAACAGCATGCCAACAGGAGCCCTGATCTTTTTACCCAGATACTGTTAACCACTTCTACATTTTCTTGAGTACATTCATCTCCAAGATAAGTTGCCTATATTCCCATTCAGTGGACCTACCCTTTGGATTTAGACCCAGATGAGGGCAGAAAGCAACATATATACTAAAACTGATCTAAGCCTCATTTATCTATATCAGGCAAACTGTCCCCTTTAAGGGCCGAGGGACTTCAGCTCCCAGAATCCCAGACTATTGGCCAACATCCCAGACTATTGGCCAGCATGGCTGAGGCTTCTGGGAACTGAAGTCCCTCAGCCCTTAAAGGGGACAGTTTGCCTACCCCTGATCTATATCCTACCTTTATTCTGGGAAACTCAAGGTAGTTAAGAAGAGAGCAGAGCAGATCAGCAGTCAGTATAACTTTGAAGTATTCAGACATGTTTTGTTTTTTTTAAAAAAAAACCTCTAGGAAAGAACTCTAAGGGGACAATGACGGAACAGCCCCATAATAATTCAGTAATTTGATGGCATAGAATATTAGTTGAAAGAACATAAGACAAAAAAATATAAGTGGATGGGAAAAGAAAACAGAACAGAGTGTTTGGAATGTGTGGTTGTATACACATCCATGTCCATCCACAAAGATATACAGGTAAAAGAACCACATTATTCTGGATGTCACTTTTGTGTTGCCACTATAGATCTATTGTTAAACTTCTTCAAGAAAGCATATTAACAACTAAAAGTCAATCAAATGGGTACATTTAAAGAGATTCAGTATTGTCCTATGCTCTAGTACACAAGTAACCCAGGAATTAGGGGACTGGAGTATGAGCTGTCAGGTAGCTAATCCAGTGGAGGCCGTTCACAAGTTATTCAGCAAGATGAAGGGAGAAACAAGAGGGTGGTCAGCCAGTCCAGAAGTAGTTACAGCAAGTTGCAGCAAAGACCCTCTGCTGAAACTTGTATGATTCCTGACAAAAACAACCACTGTGATGTGGCCAGAAGGACTGTATTCATTTTATATGAATTTTCTTCAAGATTTTGATTACTAGCAGAGTTGGTGAAAAAAGTGTTATGGTATGTCCTGTCTGAGCATCCTGACCCTATATTATGTCTGCCTGAACCTAGTGAAGAACCTGTAGAGTTTGTCTGGGAGTCTACCTGAATTCACCTGGTCTGCAAGTGGTGAAATACTGCTTAGTTGAGGCTCCACTCCACCAGATTGATAGCTTTCCTAATGAGAAACTCTACTGTTTCATTCAATTCACTTCTGATATGCTCAACTGTGATGACTGAGTGTGCTTCTTCACCTAGAGGAGGAGGCAATCGTCTCATTAGAGAGGTACCAAGACCTCACTGTGTCCTGTCTGTTTATATGAACCCTGCAATGACATTATCCTGAACAAAATGACTTAGAAAAGTATACTACACACAAGTCCAAGCTTATTATGCTCTGTCTGGATGCTTGTAGAATCCACTGACCCTGTACAACTGGTCTTCAGCAATGGGCTCCCCATTCTGATGACCTGCATGTGTTTGAGAAGGAGATTGAAAGGATCTTGGAGTGATGCTTCCATGTGTATGCTGACTGGGTTTGACCATGAAACCAAGAATGTTCAAATTTCCACAGTATGTCAACAGGGAAAGTGTTTGGGGAAAAATTTAGCAAAAGAAGGGCTCATTAGCAATGTGAAAAGGACAATTTTCTGTGCTTTATCAATCTATTTTAATTAATAGTCTGATGAAGGAATCTGTTTCTTATTCAATGGTGGAAAATCAACAGATAGAAAAGTCTGTTTTTACTTAGAGTGTAAACAACTTTTTACAAATATATCCATGAGCCACCCTTGGGTATGTAAACATTTAGGAACTTTTTGCTGAAAAGTAGCATATGTATGCTTTACAAATACATACTATGGCCTGTGTGAGTGTATCACAGCACAGATTTG